ACTTCGTTGTCACTCCAGCTTCAGAACGATGTCGCCGCGATATAACTGGAATAATGTTAAAAGCGACGTTAAACCCAACTCACTCACTCACTCATAAAGAATCTCCATCGAAACGCCGCTATATGCAATAAAACAGAACTTGTTATCCATAAAGTTGTACGTTTTTCTTACTTATTTTGCCAACTTCTAGAATGCCAATCAACCAGTTAAATTTCCAGCTAAATGCAGGCAGCCTGTATACAATAGCCATGTCGGGGCCTGATAATCAAGTGATTGATATTGTGAGCAACGATCCACAACATCGCGGCACCAAGGCAATAGAAAATGTCACAGAGATTGACTACCCTGTCCAATTAGTCGCCTCTTACGACCAGCTTTGGTCGCGGGGCATCTATTCTAACCAGGACTCCCCACAGGGTATAAAACATTCAGTTAGTTATATATTGACTCAGAGGCTGAAGACATATAAAGTCGTTGTTGTTCTGTCGTAATTACAAAGACGCTGGCTTGACTGTGAGGTGAGGTGAAATTGGGTTTAACGTCGCGTCCAAGATTATTGCACTTATATAGCGACGTGCATGCACGTGTATATGTGTGTGTGGCTGCTTGTACTAGTCAGGACTGATGCCGATTTATAGTGCCAGCTCACTGAGATACCATGTCGCAGTTTAACATGAATACCCCACTCAGACACAGTATACTGACTCCGAGCCGACCAGTCCTTGTTTAAGCCCCTTAATGCCGAGCGCCAGACAGGGTAACAACAAGTACAATCTTTTAACGTCTTTTTGTATGACGCGGCCCGGGATCGAACCCTGGACCTTCCGCTCTCCGGGCGGACGCTGGCTTGACTGTGATATCACCGACACCATTGTAACATTAATATCAAGTTTGCCTGTCAGTAACTGTGTCTGGGCCCGGCAAACCAGTGGTTGATATAATGAGCATCATTTCCACCACAGAGGTACGACGACACCAATCAAACAAGTCACTGGCCGCACAATTATATGCAGTCAAATTTTAAGACAAGCGCCAGAGTGCCGGGGACCTACTCTGACCCGAGAGGGAAATTCCATCTAAGTGAAGGTCAAATTGACTGTAAAACGATTGGTGAAAAACTGGCAATGACAGATGCTCATGTTTACAACATCAATGCAAGTCCCAGCAAGCCACACCAGTGGTTGATAGATGGACTGAGGTTCAGTCGCCACACAATCTACAATCTCATTAAAATCAGATCTTAGTTCTCGCTACCGCTAAACAAAGATCTGAGGACATCCCATTACGGGTCACGTCAGAACGACCTTTCGCGAATTTTGACTGACCAATGAAATGACTGATGAAATGTTGGATGAAAGGTCGTTCTGACGTGACCCGTAATGGGATGTCCTCAGATCTTTGTTTAGCGATAGCGAGAACTAAGATCTGATTTTAATATGAGATTGCACAATCTACAAGCAACGAGGGGTGTGTGTGTGTGCGTGTGTGTGTGCGTGCGTGTGCGTGTGTGCGTGTGCGTGTGCGTGTGTGTGTGATATTTCCTATAAATATGGGAAGGGGTTTGTCCCTTTTATTGGGTTAACGCTGGACTCTGCAATATTCCTCCTGTATGACGGCGGGCTGTTATAATAATTAAGTCTGGACCAGATAATCCAGTGATTGATATTGTGATCAACGATGAGATACTCCAAACAAGTCAGTGATCCTGACCACCCGAACCGAAGGAATCTCAGACGCCTCGTTCGAGGAAACTATTTACCCCACAATTGTCATGGCGGATGAAGATGTTGGTTACAATTTGTTTTCAGCAACCTAAGAGGCACATAACGGGACCAGGTGGTCAGGCTCGCTGCCTTAGTTGATGCATGTCATCGTATCCCAATTGCATGGATCAAAACCAACACTGCCGCTTCGCCCTGATGCAAACAGATAATTTCCGTTGAAGCTGAAACTGATCACAGAAGTAAAAGAACATTATTTGTTAACGTTGAACAGTCGGCTTATTACTGAATAGGGACCTCCGTATCAATTAGAGTTTTTCATTGGAATGAAAGTCTCAGATAAATGGCAGTAAACCGACAACACTAGATACGTTTGTAACGAGGAAACAGCTCAGTCAATACGATTTTACCTTCACACTGGGGTAACGTCTGAAATTGTTTACTTCCGTCTCAACTTTGCAGATAATAGATATTGACTGACTAACTGACTGAGTATGGTTTTACGCCGCTTTAGCAATATTCCAGCAATATCACGGCGGGGAACACCAGAAATGGGCTTCACACATTGTACCCATGTCGGGAATCGAACCCGGGTCTTCGGCGTGACGAGACCTGTACGACACTTACCACGAACAGAAATACACAATCTGTCCTCCGATGGTGGGCGTCACATGTTTCAAACCAAACCCCAACCGTATATGCTTTGTTTGTTTGTTTGTTTGTTTGTTGCTTAACGCCGCACTCATCAATATTCCAGCATTATTACGGCGGTCTGTAAATAATCGAATCTGGACCAGACAATCCAGTGATTTAGCATAGATGTACGCAATTGGGATACGATGACATGCATCAACCACGTCAGCGAGCCTGGCCACCCGATCCCCTTAGTCGCCTCTTACGACAAACCTGGGCAGCTGAAGAGCACTTTTAACCCGGATCTTCATGGGTGTTCTTGGTTTGAAAAAAATGGCATCAAACAATAGTGTGCCTATTTATCATCGATCAATAACAAAAGGTCCAAACATCTGTCTGGAGGCAAATCGGATTTGACTTTGCTGATGCGTCCTTCCCGCATACGTTGATAGAGAGTTGGTTTTGAGATAGAAGTTTAGATATATATTTGATAGACACTGGAAGCGTGACTCCGTTTAAAGTGAGCCTGTTGACGTAAGGCAAGTACTGTGGCTTCCTTTTGCTTTGGGAAGGGAAAGGGCAGGAGAAATGTGAGTGATCACCGAAAGTAGGAAACAGTTCTAATTTTCTTTCTTTATATTCAATATACATTTGTTTCTGTGTCTTAAACCAGGGGGTAATGGAATGTAAGAAGAGACTCGTAACTATTCAGCACCGAGTTTAACTGGCGCCACTTCTTCGGAACCCTTCCTCCTGGTATTCATCTACCATGCGCATGGTTGTATTCACATTAGCATTGAATTGCTCTTTTAAATAATCTGTTATACACAATACATAATACTGCACACATAGTCAATTACACACAGTATAGCAAGCTGCACGCATAAGTTGTACACAATACAGCATACTGCATGCATAACCAATTATACACAATATAGCATACTACACAAATAGACAAGTATACACTATATAGCATTATCCAAGCATAGCCATTTATACACAACATAATAAGTTGTACACAATACAGCATACTGCATGTATAACCAATTATACACAATATAGCATGCAGCATGCTACACACGTAGACAAGTATACACTATGTAGCATACTGCACGCATAGCCATTTATACACTATGTAGCATACTGCACGCATAGACAAGTATACACTATATAGCATACTGCACGCATAGCCATTTATACACTATGTAGCATACTACACGCATAACCATTTATACACTATATAGCATACTACACGCATAGACAAGTATACACTATATAGCATACTGCACGCATAGCCATTTATACACTATGTAGCATACTACACACATAGACAAGTATACACTATATAGCATACTGCACGCATAGCCATTTATACACTACATAGCATACTGCACGCATAGCCATTTATACACTATGTAGCATACTGCACGCATAGCCATTTATACACTATAAAGCATGCTACACACGTAGACAAGTATACACTATGTAGCATACTGCACACCAAGCCAATTACACACAACATCTCATATTGCACACACGGCCAGCATTAAAGACATTTGAAAGCATACTTGGAATCGAGTCATGTGTTGGTTCAAAGGATCTCCAAAACTTTTTTGACACAAAATACAAGTCTATACCGGACAAGATGTAATGTTTGAAATTGTTTTAGAGATAAATTAATTGGTAATACTAGCATGTAGTCTCATATATATATATATATATATATATATATATATATATATATATATATATATATATATATATATATACAATATAGCATGGAAAAATTAATATGCGAATAATTCATTTTTATTTTGAAATTTTAATAGATACATATATAGAAATATTCATGAATGTAATTTTCATAGTTTAAAAAGCAATATGTACTTGTTAATTTGATCGAATCGGTTTTTTGCAAAAATGCTTAATTACATTTACAATTAATGCTTTAATTAAATTATTGACAATCATTATTTGTTTGCTGTTGTTGAACACCAGACTCAACAATATTCCAGCTGTATGACGGCGATCTGTAGATAATCGAGTATGGACCAGATCGATCTACTCAACTGGGATATGATGACATGCATCAACAAAGTCCACGAGTCTGACCATCCAATCGTCTCTTATGGTGAGGTGAGGTGAAAGGTCGCGTATACGATAATTGCACTTATATTACGACGTGCTTGCAAGTTTGTGTGTGTGTAGCTGCTTGTGCTTGTCCAGACTAATGCCGATTTTATAGTGCAAGGCCACTGCGATACCATACAGCAGGTCAACATGAATACCCCACTCTGACACAATATTTGACTCTGTGCCGAAAAGTCGTTGTTTTAGATCCTTAATGCCAAGCGACAGACAGGGTAACAACAAGTACCAATTTTCAATGTCTTTTGGTATGACGTGACCGGGGATGAAATCCCGGACCACCGAGACGGTCTCATCTGTTACGACAAGCATTGGTTGCGGTAGACCAATTCTAACCCGGATCTTCAAAGATTCAAATGCCATGAAAAACACAGAGTGAGCAAACACAATAACAACATCAAGTGTCATCTAGTGGCTCAACATCTCATGTAGCGAAATGATAATGTATATTGATTATAAATATTTTTTTTTGTATTGTCAGTCTCTTACAACACCTTTTTATGTGTGTAATCCGTCAATAGTTGTTTACAGCTGGGCTTTCTCTGACTGCCGCAAGACGACCTTCGCTCACTTCTGGGGGTTCTTCAGGATATATATGATCGGATTGATGAAGAGGTGCGACCAACAGATGTAGATAATGATGGTGTTGATCAATCGTCCGGCAAGCTCCATGCGTGGATCCACAACAGTTATCACTGAATAAGGCGTATACGTCAATAGGAAACATACCATAATCATAATGATCATACGCAACAATCGCATTTCCTGTCTGGAGTTGATTCCTGTGTTCGTTTGTTCAGTGGAAGTAATATCTGTCTTCTTATCTGCAATCTTCTGCTTGGATTTCTTGAAAGTGAGAAAGATGGATACGTAGCTGTAGCAAATGAGTGGAACTGACGTTAAAAGAAAACACGCAGCAATAATCAAAGCAAAATTATCTTTCTTGCTCATTCCACAGTACTTCTTGTTGGGGTCGTACCCAAACTCTCCCATTATGTCAGTCACTGGGAAGATTAAGAGCACGGCATAAAAAAGCCAACTGACGGCGATGATGATGGCATTGTTCCTCGGCCTCCCATACACCGTGTTGTAGGTATTGGGGTGAACGATCTTCAAGAAGCGGTTGAAGGTCAGAAGGGTGATAGCATTACCCTCAACGCAAATGTTGGTATACAGAACATAACCAAAGAGTTTGCAGAACACGAGTCCATAGATCCAGCCATTGAAGAACGAGTTGACAGCGATAAGGGGCAGTATGATCCCGGAGCTTAGGAGGTTGTTGACACTGAGGTTTACAAGGTATATGTTACAGGTTTGCTGCCTTTGACTCTTCCGAGTCAACCTGTAGATGCTGATGATGTTGCCCACAGTTCCTGCGATGGCGATTGCAATGGAGGAGACAGAGTGAAAGATGCGAAGTTCAGTAGATAGTTCCTCATAGGTCGACGTCGAGTTCTCGGTGACAGACATTTTGATTCTAGAATGGAAAAATAGAGCAGTTTATCAGAGGAAGATTGTTCTGGCCATTAACTATCATATTCCATTAACCCCATCCTTGAAGTATGACTAACAAGAAGGCAGTGTTATCACTATTCACCGCCATGGGAAACTTAGGACTTTTCTTTGTTTAAGTAGTAGTGAAAGATACACAACAGCTAAGAGTCCTATAAAGTTTTAAAAGCGATAAGCACAGGGGCCGATTTATGTCATCCGAGAGATACATGATTAAATGTGAAATTAAAGCACAGAAAATACCCCTTATCTGGACTAAATATTTTATGGCACCAATCCTTGAACTCGATCTTGATAATTATCACTTAGATTTGCTAACTTCAGAAGTTTCTGAGAAAATGTGTCCTCATTGCAGACACTAGGCACTATGTAAAATAGTGATGGATGTGTATGCCCAAAATCTTAAAACATATAGCAAGGTAAATAATTTTGGAAACAAATATTTACGGCACAAATGTTCGAAACACCGTCTTGACAAGAATCTCAAAGATAAGCATGCAAAGGTTCATTCATGTAACGTCAGTAGTTTCATAGAAAACATGTCCCCATTGCAGACACCTAGCACTATTTTGAAAAGCATGGAGCAAAGGGCATAACTCTGTAAAAAAAATTGTGGCACCAATTTTCAAAGCTAGTCTTGACAAGTATTACTTATACCCCGTTCACATGCACAACATTTACTAACGTAAGTAATTTTACACATGTGTAACTATACATACGTGCGTATATGTAAATTTACCTTGCGTTCACATGAAAAGCATCTTAGTTGTGTAAATAAAGTATATAAATTGTGTAAGGCACACATATTCGTTCACGACTTTCAACTCAAAACAGCTGTTTTCCTATAAAGTTTGAATGAGAAGAAAGTTACTTCGTCGAATATTTTCGCATGAAGCAATAGGTGTTTGATTTAATTCGTACACAAAGTTTTGACTCCCTGAAACCAAAAAAAAACACTGTCCGCTCAAATCTGTATATACGCATTAAATTTGGTAAACGTATCTATTTCTACACACGTATGCACATATACAGACATATGTATAGAGGCGCATGTGAATGGGGTATTAGATAAGCATGCAAACTGTCGTTCATGTAACTTCAGTAGTTTCTGAGAAAACGTGTCCCTATTGAAGACTGTGCACTTAGTTGAAAGCAGGCAGCAAGGACCATGACTTAAGTATATCTTACATAAGCATGCAAACTTTCATTGATGTTATTTTAGTAGTTTCTTAGAAAACGTGTCTCCATTTCACGCAGTATGACTTAGTTGAAATACATGGAGCGTGGCCATAACTCGGCAAAAAATTCATTTACAACATCAATTTTCGAACTCATTTAATGTCATTACTCAAATAGTTTTTAAAAAAATGTGTCTGCTTTGAGAAGGGGACGGAGGGACAGAAGGAATGGGTCGGTGGTCGGGGAATAATATATTTATATTTATGCTCAGTGACTAGATTATTACTGTGGTAAATGGATCAGTGTGCAAACGCATTTTATTCTAAACTTCCTTGGGAGTATATTACCAAGTCTCGTATGAGGCGCTAGAAGGCATTAGATCTGATGTTATTACCACAGCTAACCTGTTTTACCCATCAAGTTTTAGCTAATCCTTTCCCCGGTCAAAATCTAACACTCGCATCATCGAACTCACCCTTTTGCCTAATGATCTCACCACCGAATTCAACCATCAAGACCTAATGTTTTCATTATCACACTGACCCTGTTACAATCAACGCCTAACGGTCTCGCTACCAAATTCACCATTTTTCCTCGTCACAACATAATACTCTAATCAAACTAACTCTTTTACAACCAAAAAGTAGCGTCCAGGCTATCGATCTTACGCTTTTACCAGTTCGTTGATCTGAATCTAGTGATGAGACTGTAAGACCTAAGGGTAAAAGGGTTAGTTTGATTATGAGGACATTAGGTTTTGACGAAGAGAATAGTGATTTTAGTGGAGAGAATGTTAGACTTGAACATCCTGTGAAGAAAGAACGGGCAGCAGATTGGTAGCGGACTAGGAATCCTACGAGGGTCGATAGAAGATAGAAGGCGTATCCGAGACAGCTTTGGACGTATTGACGGAGGAGACAACCTGTGAACGTCTGATGTAGCTGGTGGTAGATGGGGACCGAAGGCTTTAGGAACGGATAAAGCCAGCACAGTAGAGACATCGTAACTGAAGGCCGCGAATCGCTTGAGGGGTAGGGGGAGGCTGTGGGTTTGTGAGTGTGTGTCGGTGGTTGATACCGTTGATTCTGGTGTAGACAAAATCTCCTTGACATAACTGTGCGTCTGTCCGTCGGCATAGTAACTTGGGCACTAGGTTCAGACGGTTGGTTTGTTATGGCGGTAACACGATGATACGTTGGTGACATAACAGCATGAAATAGGGTACATCATGCAGAACATGTTTTCATGTATGACATCATTGCATGAGTGACCGTGTATCTAAAACACAATTTATACAGCGTCCGACTGGAATGGTTCAATCGATTCTACAAGTCAAACGATTCTACAAGACAGGATGCTACACTATCTTACATGGAAAATAGAGTGCGACTGCACGCAATTGCTTTTAACGCTTCATCAAAGCTATCAAGCAAGCCCAAGGGCATGAATCATGCTTAGACGAGAACGATTGACAATATCCAGACGAGGATCTTTCAGCCAGTACCAGACAACCAGACAACCTAAATAAACAAGGCAAGGAGTGAATCCACCCTCCAAATGAGAACTTGATCTTTAAATCGGAACAATGAAAATAAGAATAGACATATGAGCTAAAGTTCCAAGATTTATTCTGTATATAAACAAGCATAGTAGGAGAGAGCATGGGTGGGTACACACATCTGTTATCTGCGCTTGTGTGCAGTCAACAGCTTCTGAGGCAGGACCAAGGGACCAAATTGGAGAAATCCCTGTACGTCTGTCACGGAGATGTCACGGAGATAGTGGGAAGAGAAGATCGTGTCTGACTTCCAAAAGCACCCTTCCATGATGGTGGACAGGTGGTGCAATTGCTGTGCAAGGTCATAGTAGAGGCGACAGCTTGTTTCTCATGAGGATTGGACGCGATCAGTGTTGGCAATCCAGCAAAGGTGTGAGCCTGTAGTATGGTTGCAAAAGCTGGTTCTTCGCAATAAAATCACAGGGTTGGCCCAGAAAAAATCACCCACTCTCTAATTAACAATTCAAACTGAATCAAATGAGGGATTGAAGTTCAGTAAAGATGGAGAGCCTCGAGGCCGTGGCACAGAGTTGATCACAGAGGTGAGGTGAGGTGGAATTTAACGTCGCGTCCAAGATTATTGCACTTATATAGCGACGTGCATGTACGTGTGTGTGTTTGTACGGCTGCTTGTACTAGTACGGACTGATGCCGATTTATGGTGCTAGCTCAGTGACATACCATGCCGCAGTTTAACATGAATACCCCACTCAGACACAGTATACTGACTCAGAGCTGTGCAGTCCTCGTTTGAGCCCCTTAATGTCTTCAGTGGTTGAAAATGAGTGGAAATGAGCGTGACAATAGGCCTCAAACGTTTCTAGTAGAGGAAAGGTCAAATACGCATGCCAACGAGGGACCTCCGCAGATGCTCCAAGCACAGTGATGGAAGATTTCGAGCGATGGAGGGAGCGGCTGAGAATATGGCTGCGGAAGGAGGTCGTCTCGTAGTGGAAGACGGTGGAACCTTCTGTCAGCGAGTTGTACAAACGTGCTGAACCACATCTGAATTGGCCAAAAGGGTGCAGTCAAAATCAGTATGAGGAGACTGGTGCCAGGCACTTTCTGAAGGGAAAAGTCATAAGCTTTGACACCTTCCCATCACAAGAGCAATGTGTTGCAAGATCAATCTCTTGGAGACAATATCCCGTCGATGACAGCCTGTTGCCTATCACACTGGGGGTTGGCTATCACATTGGAAATCTCGGGATGTGCCTCGCTCGAACCTGAATGTTGAGGGAGTGAATGACCCACAAGAAGTCAATAGATAGTGACAGGAATGACATCGACTTGGTGGAACGAAGGGGGTCTGACCAATGGGATACCACCAGGATGACAGCCTTGAACTCGAGTTGGTGATGTGAAGTTTCTTATTTTGGTGCTGACGAACGCCCTGCTACCTGAACATCATGGAAGTGTGCTGCCCAGCTGACGGTTGGCTACAAAGAGACTCTGTCACAAACATTCGATGTTCAAGGTGAAGCTGACCCCTTAAAAGTGATGGGTTGTGCTGAAGTCAGAAGGTCGAGGATCTGTTTCCATGACGTAGCAGGAGTGGTTTGCTTCGTGAACATCTTGCACTATGGCTTGTATTCCATTAGCAAAAAGGGGTTGAGTTGAATATGGAAGCTTATATAAATGAAGGTTCATCCCAAGTACATTCTTGAAGAATACCCTGCTGACACAAAACCGTAATGGATCCCGAATGATGGGATTGGAGGTCCAAGATATCCGTGATTTTATCTTAAATCAGAATGTCCGAAACTCAAGTACTCTTCTGTAGACTTGGTGGAGACTAAGGAAATTGTAATAGCCTCCGCCGCCGGGAGATTAGTAGACATCAGGGGAAGCATTCATCAAACCATGGAATCAGAGTAAGCCAATCACAATCAAGATGAAGTAAAGTAAATGTATGTGTAGAACACCATAACAGGATCGGATGAATCAAAAAACTCCCAGACGAGGAGGAAGTGGTGTGATGATCCGCTTCAATACATACTTGCGTATTATGCTGAACCTGAGGAACAGGAGCAGCTGACTGAATAGGAGCAGTCTGTGTGCGAGCCAGCGTGGGAGTCAAACCATCCAGGGTAGGCAGCCCACAACGATTCTGGAGAGCAGAGGTCATACCTGAAGTTTGGTGTTGGATCATTAACCTGGTCTCTATGGTGCCAAGAGGTAGGCAGTGGCTGCATGTATGGAGGAAGCGATGCAAAAGGACTCGATCC